ATCGCTTTCAACATTCTGGTGAGACTGTGAGCAGATATTTTAGTATCTTACTTGATGTTGTATGTCGTTTGGCTATGGATGTAATTAAACCATTGGAAAATGCGTTTAACAACACTCCAAAAGAAATCCTACAAGATTCTAGATATATGCCTCATTTCAAGGTAACTATTGCATATACTATTAAATATTTGTCTATGTTTTATAATATTATAATTAATATTATGTTTGTCCTTTTATCACTTGTAAGATTGTATTGGTGCTATAGATGGTGTTCATGTGCAAACTGTAGTATCTCCTTCTAATCAAATACCATTTATTGGTAGAAAGGGGATACCTACCCAAAATGTGATGGCTGCATGCAATTTTGACATGCAATTTATATTTTCATGTGCCGGATGGGAAGGCACGGCCCATGACACAAGGATATTTCTATCGGCTTTACGTGATCTAAGTTTGAATTTTCCTAAACCTCCAAATGGTACTATTTCTATCTAAAGAAAAAAAAATCATATAATTTATATTAATTTTTTTTTTTTACATTGTGAATAATCTATTAAAAATTTTTTTTTAAGGAAAATTATATCTAGTAGATGCAGGATACCCACAAATGAGAGGCTACTTAGGACCATATAAAGGAGAAAGATATCATCTTCCTGATTTTCGTAGGGGTGTTCAACCGATGGGCCATAAAGAGGTATTCAATCATGCACACTCTTCCCTTAGAAGTGTTATCGAACGCACTTTTGGAGTATGGAAAAAGAGATGGAGTATTTTACGAGACATGCCTAGTTATTCTTTTGCAAAACAAGTCAAAATAGTTATTGCAACCATGACACTTCATAACTATATAAGAAGACATGCCAAACGTGATTGTCATTTTGATGAAAGTGAAGATGACCTAAATGGTACTCAAGAAGAAGAGATTGAGAGAGAGGTTGATGCACAACAAGAAGATGGTCTTGTAACACAAGAAATGAAGGCATTGAGAAATCAGATAGCCGCAAGTTTAATGAGTTCATCTGGTTAGAAATGTATATAATTGCTTGTTTATGACTAGTTTAATTTTTGTTATGACCATATTATTGACAATATATTTATTTTTAATGGAATACTTAATTTATTTTATAATTAAAATAATTTTTAAGGTGGGATGGAAACATATTTAATACAAAAAAAAATTATATAAGTTAAGGTGAAAGTGTTTTTCCTTTTACCAAACACTTAAACAGAAAAGTCATTTCAACATAATGCCATTTTTAGTCATTATACACAGCTCACAGCACTTTTACAAAAAAATTTACCAAACACTCAGAAACTGATTATTGTACAAACAGAACTTATAACAAAAAGTTTACCAAATGCCAAACTGCTTTCTCTCACAGCTGATTTCTCTCACAGCAAATCTGACATCGATTATTTTCACAGCACAGCAATGCCAAACTGGCCCTAAGAGTCAACCAACTTATACTTAGTAATTCTCTCAATTATTCTAGAATTTTATAATTTTATCACACAAGTGTGCATTAATGTTTAACAAACAATATCAATCCAAAATCAATGTTTCATTTGAAATATACATACCTTAACTTTCTTCATGTATAGTTTAGGAGCAATGAATTTGCGCTGGTGGACCCAAAGCCGACCTTTGGTCAAGGCAACTAGGGCCATCGCCCAGGACCCAAGATTTAAAGGGGCCCAAAAAAAAAAAATTATAGCCGATTATATAATATATGTATGTGCCAAAAAAAAAAAAACTAAATTTCCAGAACGTGAAAACTAGAAAGTTCATTTTTTTAATATATGTCGGGCATGGACAGCTTTCCAGCCAAAAAAGAAAAGGCATAGAGGCTTTATTTTTTAGGTTTTTTTTTTGTAACAATGGTCCATCAACTATACTAGGAGTTATATTTTGATCATTCAACTTTAAAAATAGTTACAGAGGTCACTCAATTAGGTATTGTGTTGCACCATTAGTCCCTACCGTTAGAGAGACTTAATGGTCGGAATTAATGGTGCAATACAACACTTAATTAAGTGACTTTTATAATTATTTTTTAGAGTTGAGTGACCAAAATGTAACTCCGAGCATAATTGAGGGACAATTTCTACAAATAACCCTTATTTATTTATTTTTTGTTATTTCATTTTTATAAATATTTGGAAGGGTTAATTACTGTAGACGTCCCTGAACTTGACCCCCATTTGCAATTGGGTCCGTGAATTTTTTTTTTTTTCGGGCAATTACATTCTTTAACTAGACAAACAGTTGCAATTAGGTTCTGTCATCAAAGTCTGTCAATTTGCCTATCAAAATGAGGGGTAAAAGCGTCATTTTAAGTTCCAAGAGTCTCCTTTACTGGATAATCCCGCGTGTGAAGTTCAGTGGGAAACCAAATGTTAAAAAACAACAATAATAAAAAGAACATCAATTCCACTTTGTCTCTTAAACCAAAATTCGTTAAAGGAGAGACTCCGAAACGACGACGTCATGACGCAATCATCGCCGTTGTCAACGACGGAGGACGAGGAGTCGCAGTCACTATGCCAGTCATCGGGTGGGCGGGATGCACGGGTTTCCGCTGTCGCTGAGCATCGGAGATGGGTACGGGGAAGGGGAGGTTGGGATGGGGGTGCCTTTTTCTGGGTTTGGTGCGACTGTTCTTGTTCTAAGTTTTATTTTTTTTGAATTTTTTGTTATTTTATTCTTTAAGATATATTTGTTCTTGTTATTATTATTTTTGTTTTAAATTTACCTTTTCTCTAGCACAGTAAATAATTCTGGAAGAAGGAGCAGTTCATCCATGCTAACTGAAAAGACGCTTTTACCCTTAATTTTGACGGACAAATTGACAGATTTGGACGACATGACATTAATTGTAACTGTTTATCGAGTTAACGGATGTAATTGCCCAAAAAAAAAAGTTCACAGACCCAATTGCAAATGGGAGTCAAGTTCAGGGACGTCTATAGTAATTAACCCATATTTGGAATGAATTTCTAAGTTTACCCATGTATTCAATGGAAAAATAGACAGACTTGACGAAAGAGACTAGTAATGCAACACCAACACTATACATAATTGGGGAATCTTTACAGCTATTTTTAGAGTTGAGTGATCAAAATGTAACTACGGGTATAATTCAGGGACTATTGCTACAAAAAAGCCTATTTTTTTAATTCTTTCTTAAGAAGCCCAAGAAACATGCGTGATGAGTATGTCTGCCAGGATATGTTTATTTTATTTTTGTTCAGAAGTCTGCTAAACATTTATAAAGGAAGAACAATCTTGAAAATAAACCAAGCAGAGCAGAACCCATCGGCAGCAGTGAAACTGTGGCAGTGGGTGGGATTGTCCTGAAAATAAACCAAACAGACTCTCGAAAGTATTTTTTAGTGATTCTCTGAGAGAGAGTGGGTGGGACTGGGATTTTCAGTTGAAAAACTTATTCTTAGTGAAACTGTATCAGCTACCCATGGGCATCAGCAACTAACTTCAGGTTTTATTGTTCCTTCATTTAATTAGTTCTACTTTTATTGCTAATTTAATTTGCTATTGCTTTCTTTGTTTTGTGTTTATGATACAAATTTAAACACGTTTACAAAACAACTTTCTGGAAATCTCAAGAGACAAAGAAAGAAAAAAGAGGAAGAGATTGCTCAAAGTTTAAGAGAATCTTTGAATAAATATTTTAGTAAACAACTGATAGTTCACTTGAAAATGTAGCAGAGGATTTACCACCAAATGAAAATGAGAATGACACAAATGAATGTGAGAATGCAAACGATTTGAACATTTTATTTCCTAGAGGTTGGGATAATCTTGATGAAAAAAATGAGAGATTTACTTTTAAAAAAAGGTCCTGTAAGAGAAACTATTTTCAAATTCCCTTTGATGAACACTTTTGGGTTTTTATATGATGCTGCAAAGTTGACTTGATTAGATGATAATGAATTGAAAATTTCTTGTGTGAATCTAGAAAATGTTTTAAACAATGACCATGTTTCGGATGTGGATGCAAGACGTGAATGTTGTAATCTCCCTCACAGCGTTTGGTTGGTTTGCATATAATATGCTAATAATATTATTGCAAAATATTCAGAAAAATCAGGAACTAATTGGTGATATCATTCGCTTTCAATAAACCATACAAGGAGTGAAAATGATGAAATATTAAAGATGCATTATTAGAACAAGTAACTTTATATACTATAGGCTTAAACAAGTGAACAAACTTGTAAACTACAGACAGCCAGGAAGCTAACCCTTACTTACTCTGTTTTGTTACAAGAAAGTTTATAGTTAAAAAGATCCAATCTAATAAAACAGCTCACAGCTTCGTCACTAGGAGATCAACTCCATGCTCTGGCTCCACAACCAATCTAAGAGCAGGTCCATATTTGTACTTGGGAGAAAGTGAGAAAGAGAAGTTGGAGACTATGAGGGCTAGGAGAACCTTGAGCTCAACCATGGCTAAGTTCTGTCCAAGACACACTCTTGGTCCAACCCCAAATGGCATGTACAAGTGGGGAAGCTTGCAAGCTCCTGTGATCCCATTTGCAAACCTATCTGGGTTGAATTCGTAGGCATCTGGGCCCCATATTTCTGGATCAGTGTGCAGTGTCACTACTGTGGTCCAAACATTGAAACCCTTTGGAACATTTATGTCCCCAAATTTCATATCCTTGAAAGCCTCCCTTGACACCACAGTAACTGGTGGATATAGCCGCAGCGATTCTTGAATGACCATTGTTAGCTGCACACATTCAACAATAGTAAGTTTTAATATTAACTGATATTTTCTACCTATGAAAGTACGTCTAAACATGTAAAATATTCACCATTGTTAGACTGTTTGGCAAACTAAATATATCATGTTGTTAGATTTTAAATTAATAAGAGAGAAGATTCTCTTGTCAGATTGTTTGACAACCTAAACTTATTATGTTGCTAGACTGTAAGTTGCTCTATATTCGTAATTGATATATTTGACAAAAAAATATTACTAGTCCAGATGTATGACATTTGGACTCCGAGTTTATAACATAAATCACGTAATCTTCCACATATTTGTTGTGAATTGGCTCACCATTGGATGTTGTGATGAAGTTCGAGAGTGAAAACATGAAGGAAGATGAGAAGTGTTTTAACGGTGTCTTTTGACAGACACTTCTTGTTTTCTGTCATGTTTTCCCTCCCGACACCTAAAGACGATGCCAATTCACAACAATATATAGAAGGATAGTTACTCTTATA